TTCTTGAAGTAAAACTGTAACAAGGGATTCATTTAAAATTTCTTAAATTTTTCGAAAAAAATTGCTGAAAATTGCCAAACATTTGCATTCAATAGAGGACATCTGTATGTATGTGGATATGAGTCAGTAGTATTGGCTGGACATAGAGAGACATTAATGGCTAATGTTATTACAATCACGGGTGGCGGTTGAGGGCCACTGTCTGCTGTTACATATATGACCTAACCCTACTTCATATACTTGTCCACATTTAAGATCTGGATAAGTGCTAGTTTAATCTTGAAAATATAAATTTTTTTTTGGCCCAACGGTTTCTAAATTTGAATAGAAGTGCTAAACCGAGTTGCATACTTTTACAGTCAAGCTCGACCAATGAGGCTGGTTGTGTAGGTGGCTGTGCTCTCACGTGCTAAGCCATCTAGAGTTCGACACCTCTAAATTTGAATCACTTGTAGTATGAACCAAAAAAATCTGAAAATTGGTAACATTTGTAAAGGTGCCACAAATGACACTATCAAGGTAAACATGTACCTTGATATCTTGATTTTTGATGCCCTATTTTATAGGTTGGACCAACCATAAATACAACAGCTATAGATTCACAAATAGATACCAAGTAATAAAGTTTTTCAAATTTAACAGCTACACATGATGTAATGAGCATTATTAGGTCCTCCAACTTAACTGCCCACCTCTTGCAACAATTGATAATAGATTCATGTCCCGAATTTAGCCTTGAAAATCCATAAGTTGAATATCAAGTTGCCATTGATCGAAACAAATCTATAGTTGGCTCTCAAAACGATGATGCCCATGTAAGAAGGTTCAGTGAAAAAGTTAGTTCTTGATAAAGCACATGATCCTTTTTGATTTAAGGAAGATGAATGAATACATTATTGCTTGAGGGGGTCGAGATGATTTGATACTTCATTTAACGAAAGTTGTTTGGAAAGCGCGAAAAGAAGTTCGAGACCTCCATGTACTTTGAAGTATGGAGACTGTGAAATCATAGTAGGCTCAAAGTTCTTGCAATCTTTGAAGATAGAAAGCAAGCATAAATAGCAAGAAGCCCACTGCCTACAAACCTATCAAGCCTCATCTTTCTATTTAGAAGAATCACAAGAGCCCATAGCAAGCCCATTATCAAAAAACCAATTGTCTCGAAAACCGAATCTTCTGCGTGGATTGTACAAGAGCCTGGATATGTGGCCCAAGTTGAGAAAGTAAATGACAAGCCCAAGCCCACAAGTGTGTTGAATATGGACCCAGCATAGCAACCAGATATGGCTAATTGGGCCCCACGTGGCCCACCATTCTTGGCCAGTGATGCATTGGAAACCAAGTCACCAAGAGAATTTCCCCATGCCAAGACTGTTAACCCCAAAATGGAATGATTGATGCCTAGTATTAGGCCAATTGAAACCAATAGCGAAATCAATTCTTGTGCCAAAATATATGTCCAAATTATGCTCATCAAGAATCCTAATGAAAGCCATAAGAACAAACATTTTCTTGGAGGGCTTAGCCTAGCAGTAGTGCAAAACGCAAGAATCCCTAAAGCAATTCCAATTGATGATCCCACAATTACATATATCAGAATTTGTTGTTTCGATGTGTTAAATCCCCAAATGAGGCAACATAGAAGAGGATCTAATGATATTGAAACTACTGCACATGGCTTAGACCATTTCTCTTGAGAAACAAGTGGAATTGTTAATCTTCTTGGCAAGTAAAGTGGCAACTCAAGAATGTACAAAAGAGTTTTACCTTTGTAATCAGTTAATATATGGCTCTCATTAGCCATGAATAGTAATAAAGGCAAGTTCGAGTCGGATGATCCATTGGGATTTTCTTTGGGAAAGTTCATGGTTAAAGGCAAAAGCACTGATGGAGATTCATCTGAGTTTTCCGCTAGATTTTCCTCCTTAGTACACACGAAAATGACGAACACGTATATCAAGTACAAAGAAAGGAAAGAAATAGCACCCCACAGATTTATTTTGCCCAAAATAAGAATCCCTAGCAGACAAGAAAGGCAAAAGAGTAAGAACAAAATATTTGTAATGAAACTAGACCTACTGATTTTTCTACCATGTTTGCTGACAGAAATGCTTATAATTCCGACGACAACACTAGATACGAAAAATGCACCACCTAATATGCTATTTAGGCCAATATCTTTCGTGCTTTCGCTCGAAAAGGAAATTATACTACCAAGAACATCTGGTGCTCCATTTCCTAGAGAAAGAAGGGTGATTCCAGCCACAGTTGGGGAAAGTTTAAGAATATCGGATAAGCCCTCGAGTGAAGAGCAGAAGTAACTGCTTGCTGTATCTCCTAATAAATAGAATAGGATTACAAGCCAAAGGGCAAGTGAAGTGTAGCCCAAAACCGGTCTAAATTTGCAATAGAAGATCTGTAGATAGGGAATGTAACCTCTTGGTTGGCATCCTTTGTGGGATTTAACATAGTAACATTTTTCTTGCTTGACATAGTATTCTTGAAGCCTTTTGCAGCCAATATCATCATCCATTGTCTTGTAAACAGAGTGATTCGAACGTCTTAGGTTGTTTGAATTACTAGAATCTGAATAGGGGAATTGGGATATGAAGCAAAAGAGGAGAAGAAGAAATACTAGGTTTAAAAGGATCCTAAGCCACTTGGTTTCATACATGAACAGGAGTCCGGCCATTTAACAGAAAATTGAAGGGGGAGAAAAAAATGGATATTGTCTATCGTCCATCCAATATTAAATATATATACATATGTTACAAGAATCTAAAGACACGAAAACATTAAAAGAAATGCAGAATTGATGAGTGCGTGGACCCTAATCATATTATAAACTTATCCTCTCGACCATTAAAAAAAATATTGTATTCTCATCTATAAGAAAACCTGCAACAGCGAGGTATAACTATGTTTGCGCTTAGCTCATTCTCTGACTTCCTATTTCATTTATTATTACTCCCTTCAATAGGAATAACTAGACTGAGAATCATAATTCCATTTTTAGGGTTCAAAGTTTTTCACAAAAGGGACCAGTTTATGATGTGTATTTACATTAGGAGTTGTCATTTTTTGGCACATTCAGTTTGGATCAAGAAAAGATTTACCCCAGTTGGGAATAGGCATTGTCCTAGTTGTGCCCAAGAAATGAGGATGAGAGCTGACAGAAAAGGTAGAAATAGCTGACTACAAGGCAAGTAAATGTTTTAGCCTTGACAAGGAAGTAATAATGTGCATAGTTCCAAAACGACTGTCTCAACAAGAAACAGAAACCAAATTGATTTAATGTTGAACAACTTTAGCAATCCTCAACTAGAAAGGAGTCAATGATCCGGGGGAGGTCGAATTCCAAATCCTTTTTCTCGAATAAAAAAATGGACGTCATTTTGGAACACGTGTGGAGAGCAGCCCCGTGTGGTTAAAAGTAAGCCAAAAGAGCTCAAACTCCTTTTCTTTGCGTTACTTTCAGCTCGAATGTGGGATTTTCGTCTATGAGTACAATTTAGAAGCGTTGTTCGATTCTACACATTTTTTTTTTAAACGTTGTTAAACTTTTGGAGTCAAATTTTGTCGTTTAGAGCTCTATTTTAGCGTTTTCTATTTTTAGTCACTTTAATAGTATTATCGTCATTTTTATAGTATTTTAAGTTTATTCAATTTTGTTAGGGTAATTATATTACCACTACGAATTTTATTAATTGGACCAAAATTTTTAGTAATTTTTTTATTTATATAATTAGCCTTAAGTAAAATTACATAATTAGAGTTTTAATATACTTTTTAATAAAATAAATTATGGTTTCACCACAAATGTAAATCTGATTTTTTTTCTTTCTTTTTTCTCAACATCTGAATGCCCAAAGCTTTTTCAAGACGATTATCATTTTCTTTCCAATGCTTCCACTTTATAGCCTCTTCATTTTCCTCAAACATAAAAAGCCTGCACCATCAACTTGAGGCATGATTTCACTTCCATTAGACTTAGGTGTTGTTAGATAAAATAACAGTAAAGTGCAGAAAAACTTATCAAAAGATCGAGTCTCGAGACAGCACGATGTCCTAAAGCGAAATTGCCCGTCGATAACTGCTGCGACCTCTGTGGACAATCACCTCCAGAATACAACGATCAAATAAACCAATTATGCAGCAATCACAAAAGGTTTTCAGAAC